TCGTCCACACTGGGGACAGTCAGAGTGTCGGCCTCAGTAGCCTGGGAAGGAGACGGTGCCCTCTTCGTCTTCTTAGCGACGTTCAGGCCGGCCTCGGTCAATGTCTTCTGGCCGTCAGTGGGAGGCCTCTTCTTTTTGGACTGAGCAGGCTTTGGGGCCGCACCAGCAGTAGCCCCACCTCCTTCGGCCGCGGCACATCTGGCCGCCTCGGCCGCCTTTGCAGCCAGCTCCTCGGCCGCCTTGGCCTTGGCTATAGCCATAATGGAACGACGATCCATGACAAAATCTACACAAAGGAAAAACAACAGATTAGCAAGGCAAAAGAACAAATCATAAAGGACGAAAGCCGAAGAAATAATTACCATCGGCCTCAGCAGGAATGCCCAAATCCGGGCCGTCGGCCTCTTCGAAGGTGGTGGTCATCCTCGGCCAGAGTTGGATATCATCCTCTTTATCACCATACACATGGTATCTCATGAAGCCGAGGGTGGTCATCTTGTATTCAGTGATATAATCCTTCACGCTCCTCGGCCCCCCCTTCCAAGAAAGCCTCCACCTGAGCGTCCAAGATAGAACTCTTCGGCGGGTCATGCAGATTGAACCTCCCGGTATGGCCGAGGGAGGGAAACTCGGTGCCACTCTCACCAAGGGACACAAAAACGAACTTGCTCTTCCACCCATGAATGGACGAAGGCAAGTCCGTGAAGCTCATCTTCTTCGGCAACTGTTGCAAAGTAGCATAGGCTGCACAATTTTTGTGGCTTCCTCGGCCTATCTGGTACAGATTCATGAACAGTGCCGTCGTCGGCCTGTAGCCCAGTTCCTCACAGCGGAGCAAAAACCCCACCATCAACGAATAGCTGTTCGGCGTCAGCAAGGCCGGAGGGAGCCCCACCATGTCAAGGTACTCGGTGATGAAGGGGTGAAGGGGAAACCTCAGCCCCTTGGCAAAACTCATCGGGTATACTCCAAAGTATCCCGGTGGCGGATGAAGAACATTCTCCGTCGGCCTGGGTGCCCTAACCCGCCCGAACGGCCCCACGTACATCTGGGCAACCAAGTAGTCGGCCGCGCTGCTCTCCGGCTTGATCAGGAAGATGTTGGTGAGATCCAGGTAGGAGACGCCAGGCCCACTCTTCGGCCTCCTTACCCTCTTCGGCTTATCGGCTCCCTTAACGGCGGACACCGGCCTCGGGCACGGAATAACAGCTGAAGTGGACGCCCCGTCCACCACTCGGGACGCAGCTGCGTCCTCACCTTTTGAAGATGAGGCGGACTCCTCGTCCTCGACTCCGTCGTCCACCGGCTCTTCGGATTTGTAAGGACTTAAGTGTTGTATCTCCTCCTCGAACTCCTCGAGCACCTCATAGTCGAGTGACCTAGTGGAGGGCTGGTCGTCGTACGGATAGTAGTCTTCGTTCAAGCTCTTCATCATAACAACTACTACGAGCCTAAGGGGAATAACTTAGGATCTAAGGTGGTTCAAACGCCTAACACTAGATCACTAGCCTAGGAAGCAAAGTATGCAAAGTACAGAAGATGGCGATGAACACTAACCTTGAACACGAAGAACACGAAGAACAAGCTTGGGAGTTTATCTCTCTAGAAAATTGGCCAGCACTTCGACAATTCAGAATGCAAATAAGGTTTCTCGTCGGAGGGGGAGGGGTATTTATAGAACCCCCCCACCCAACGGTCACTACACGTGGCACCCTCCCAATGGCCACATCAACGGCCACCAATGGGAGGCCACCACGTCACCAACGGGCCAGGCCCAACCCCCAAATCGACAGCCCACAGGCAAAACAGACTCTACGGCCTACACACTTGCCGGCTTCACGAGTGCCAGCAAGCGCCCACAACGTCCTATTTGCTTGCCAGGTTCAAGAACGCCAACAATAAGGAGACGGCAACGGCCATGAACGTAATGAACGCCCGTAACGGCCACAGAACCAAAGGAACAAAGAACCCACAGCCATCGGCTCCTCGTAATGACCCTTCATGATAACTCTCTACAAGCGATCTGCGCACAAGGGTTCTCCCACAGGGTTACCTTGGCCAGAAAATCGCCATGAGGGTTGGATTCAGGGGGACTACGGAGAGGCCGCTTCGGCCAGGGACTCAAGCAACTCCGTCACCCCTCACACTCTTCGGCCTGAAGCAGTGGGGGACTGGGGACTACACCGGCCTCAACAAAACAAAAAGGAACAATACAAAGAACATGAATGTAACCACAAAGCATGGCCACATCGTCCACGCATCATAATGGCGCCTCATCGGCCAGAGGCACATAACATCATCAACAACGGCCAACAGGCCACCCAGGGCAAGGACATTCATCATCCCCTGCCAACAGTTAACCATAAGGGGCTCTTCGGCCAAGAACACGAAAGCAAATCAGCGACGGCCAAAAGGAGTGCGCAAACACCCTCATCGGCCACCCAAAGGGAAGGACACCATCGTCCTTGAAACAAGGTTCAACCTCAGTGGCCTCGTCGGCCCAAATGTAAACTTCAACCATCAACGTCCAAGAAAGGGAAATCGCGCCTTTCAAACGGCCACCATTGAAGCAGGACACTCATCGTCCCCAAACGAACATATCAAGGAAACAACGGCCTCCCCGCCCACAACAAGGAGCAGGTAACGGCCAAAGCACCGAACAGGATCACCAAAATGGAAACAGCGCCAATGCCGCAACAGCTAACGGCCTGGGAATGCCCGCATCGGCCAAAAGCACTAAAGCACGGGAATCTACTCTCCTTCACTTCGTCTACATCTCAGTTTAGAGAGTGGGGGACTCCTGATGGAGTATATGGGTCTGAGCCCCTGGACCCACATACTCAGAAGAACAGAAAGCGCAAGACACTGAGTGGCGCCCTCGTCGGCCAAGGGACCCCCGTCGGCCGAAAAGGTGCCAACTCAGATTATGGTCCTGAGCCCAAGGAACCCGGGTGCCCTCGTCGGCCACGCCCTCGTCGGCCACGCCCTCGTCGGCCGTGCCCTCGTCGGCCACGCCCTCGTCGGCCATGCCCTCGTCGGCCGTGCCCTCGTCGGCCACGCCCTCGTCGGCCACGAAGACCTCACAGAACCGGATTTTACACTTACTTATTTGTACAGCCCATTAGTGGCTGTGTATTCGGCCCAGTGGCGGTCCAGTTGTAAATGGGCCTCCCAAGCCCAAGGCTTGGGAGCCCAGCCCGTATTTTCTCTATAAATACTCCCCTTGGGAGTAGTTATAGGGGTTACAAATTCATTCTATTGAAGCATATTATTGCACTTCGCTCTCTAGCTCTCACTTCTCTCTAGATATACTCTATCGGTGTCCATTAACAGAAATCATATCAGCCCAAGAAGGGAGATTTATTTGAATATATCAAATTGTGCTTACCACTTGGTACCTGAGAAAATTATTAAGACTGGTATATTTATTATTGGCAAGCATGGAAATGAAAATGTGTCCCTCCTATTCCCAAATTCTCAAAAATACTTGAACCGAAAGGCATCAGATGACGAGATATATGAATTGGTGATAGCTTCTATGAAATTCAAGGAGTCTGAGATGCTTAAAGACAAATTCATGAATGGATTAAAGGAGGAGATTAGAGTCAAGTTGAAACTATTGCATTTTGGGATTCTGGCAGAGTTAAAGGACAGGGCACTGATTTTCGCGGTAAACTTTGAAGAAGCTGGTATTAACATGGATGGCTTTGACGTTGTCTGGCCACCATGGGGAAGTAAAATCGTTTCAGGATATCAATTAATTTCAATGTCACAGATAACTCATGAGTAGGAGCATCCAGATGCTTCATTTCTTCTACAACATTTTGAAATGCTGAACGGTCCCTCAGAGAAAGCATCTCTCAGTTTGGTCCACATCAATTCTCAGGTAGAAGTCAAATCATTCCATAAACATTTTGCTACCTGTGAATTCTTATCTGAGGTGAAGGTCATGTACCCAGTTTTACCACTTACGTTGGCTACTCTACCTGAGGTAAACGACATGGAGAGCATTAGTACTACTGCGGCAACAACAGCTCTAGACTCTTACACTCATTTTTTGAGTGTTGTTATTGGACACGAATCTGTCCAATTTCACGATTACATGATTGGCAGTAGCTCTGGCTTTGAGGAAACAAGATTGCAATTGATCACTGAACCCAACACTGAAGTTTCCCTTTTCCCAAGTGGTGTTGTGTATCAATGCACAACTCTCTCTTCACTTGTCAGTTCTTCAGTATGCATCTGGCAGTACATGGCATCAGGATCCAAACGGGTTATGGGATTTAAAAGTCGCCGGGTTGCTCTGCTTGATATTGGTTCACCTTCGGTTTTATTTGTAATATACAGTCACTCTAACTCAAGATCTCTGGTCTATTTTGCTAAGGCATCTTTGGGTGTTCATCAAAACACTGTGAAACCGGAAGGTGGAATCTCATATGAAACTAAGGAAGAACTTGCTTTGTGCTTAACCAGAGATGGACACATTATTTTAATGACTTGCAGCATTGGCTGTTTTATCAATTCGCAACCAGTACATCCAGAAAAGCATGTTGAAAGAAAAGATCAAACAACACCATCTGATCATGAGGAACAAAACAATTACAAAGATCCCAACAATCAGCGTGTTCTCCAGGCAAGCACGCTCATGGTTCCGTCATCAGTTAGATACTGGGAAGGAAGAGGTGCCCGGATGAAGATGAAGTTGAAGGTCAAGGCTCTTACTTCCCACCTTGAGGACAAGGTGGTTGTCAAAGAGAGGAGTGATGATAGAGACCTGGACTTATGGGCTTATGGAGTGAGATATAATAGAAATAATACTGAGTATTTTAATCAAATGTAATAGTGGGCTGGCCCGTTAGGATATAATTACTATAAGAGTGGGAAGGAAGGAAGAAGGAAGTTAGGCAAAAATTGGAATTAAGCTTGGGACTTGGGAGAGGGGACTGCTCGAAGTGTCTCGTTCTGATTTCTTCTCTTTCTTTCTGTTCTTTCCTTTTCAGTTGTAATCGACCAGACTTTCATCTTCAATAAATCGTAAATTTCTGCTGCTTTTGTTGAGGTATCTAACATATCACGATCCCTACTTCATATCTTCTAATTCTTTTTTCTTTTTCTTATTTTTTCTTTTATAAAAACTTATTATATTATATCTATAATACACCCCTATAAATTTTAATATCCGAGTCTAATGTAATATGATACTTTTGAAATATGCATTGATATAACAATTCAAAATGAGCACAACATCAGTACCAAATGAGCATACATAACTTACAAAGTGCACATTGATATGAAAATCGTAAGGTTTCTTAGTTTGACATAATGACATTTTCATTGAGCATCAAACCTTCTTTATTGAGATGTAAATCACGATTTCATGTGAATGAGCACTAATGAACTTTTAATGTGCATCAGACCTATAATGAGCATTAAAACACTTTCAATGAGCATCAAACTTATTCGGTTGAGTACAAGGAAACTAACAATGTGAATCTAATATCATATGCAACTTTTAAAATTTGCATGAATATGACATTTTAAAAATGAGCATAATATGAGTACAAATTGAACAAACGTAACTTACAAAATGAGTATTGATATGAAAATAATAATTTTTTAGTTGAAACTCAAGACATTTTTATTGAGCATCAAACATTCTCTATTGAGTATCGAAAATATCCAATTGAGTATCATGGTTTGTGCTCCTATATCTATAATCAACTCCAACATGAATCTAAAAAAAACTGAAACATTTAATACGTACTAATATTTTATATTACACATTTTCTTTTTCATAATAATTGAATATAACATTAAAGTAGAAGGTTGTTAAAAAAGGAGAACAAAAAAACAAAAAAAAAAGGAGAATAAACACAGAAAAGAAAAGAAAGGAGAACAGTGGAGCATCGGCAGAAAGAAGCGAGAGTGGCTGAGTGGAGCATCGGCAGAAATTAAAAGGGAAGAGTAGAGCATCGGCAGAAAGAAGGGAGAGTGGCTGAGTGGAGCATCGGCAGAAATTAAAAGGAAAGAGTGGAGCATTAGCCTATTAATTACCCTCAAATGTGCTACTAATTTCAAAAAAACCGGGTGTACTTGTACACCCGGGTGTAGGATATAATTTGCCACTAGTTTCCACCCCCTTATCCCCCCTACCCGTTCTTAAATAACACTCTCCTCAAGGGCCGGCCCTCAACTAAGTTAATGGGCCTAGAACCCTATTATTGAACAATATTAAAATATTTAATAAGACTCTTATTATTAATAGTGACTGGATCCCTATCATATTTCTGTAAGTGCATTTTTTGGAAAGCTGTTTAATCAGTTTATATTTCGAAGTTTCATTCCTAAGGGCGTTCCTTCTGTCAATAAGGGAATCAGTAGAAAAATATCTTTGTATCTTATTGAATCTTTGTAATTATAGGAAGATTTTATTAGGCATTGAGTGCAGGGATATCTTGCATTAATTGTAAGAATCCCTTGATTTGTTTCCTTGTACATATATTCCCATGTTGTCTATATAAGTGTAAATAAACTGCTGAGCAGGGCAACTCAAGTTTTCCAGCATTCCCAGTTCTTAGTTCCCGATTTTACTCAGTTCCTGATTTTATCATTTCTGGTAAAATTAGTGACATGGTATCAGAGCCATAAGCATTTTTTTCAGCAAACCCTAAAATTCAGTTGGGTTTGTTCTTGGAGTTCTTGCTCGACGTCTCAGTTTTTTTGTTTTAAACACAAACCCTAGGGTATCCTCTCAGATTCTGTCATCTCAGCACTTAGTTCCAGCCATCTTCTATCTCAGATCAACACATCTCCTTCTCAGATTTATTCTGTTCTCTTGTTATCACGGATAAATTAGAAAACTTATGTGTTTGATTTGATGGAAAGAATTATGTTACTTGGGCGTTTCAATTTGAAACCTTTCTGAAAGGAAAGGATTTGTGGGCTCACGTGGATGACTCTTCCACACAGAATTTTGCCACTCAGGATGACACTTGGGAGGTGAAAGATGCTCAAATTCGCAGTTGGATATGAGGGTCACTCGATCCTCATATTATTCTTAACCTACGCCCCCATCGCACAGCTAAAGCCATGTGGGCTTATCTACGACAAGTTTATGATCAGGATAATGTAGCCCATCAGTTTCAGTTGGAGTTGGATATTTCTAACTTTCAACAAGGTTCCTTAACTGTTCAGCAATACTATTCCAGTCTTTTAGAGCTTTGGACTGAATATATCGACTTATGTCTCGCTGACGTCCCTGAAACTGCTGTTGAGTCTCTTCGGGATATGTTACAAGCACGGCAGCGCAGACAGTTCTTGATGAAACTGCGCTCCGAGTTTGAGAACACTCGCTCCTCTTTATTGAATAGGAATCCAGTTCCGTCTCTGGCAGTTTGCCTTCGGGAACTACTTCGAGAAGAGCATCGTCTACTTACCGAGGCTACCTTGGAACAAGGTCACACTCCTATTGCTTATGTCATTCAAGCTAAGCCTCACCCTAGAGATATAAGTGCCACACAGTGTTATTCTTGCAAGAATTACGGTCACATTGCGCAGCATTGCCCTAATAAGGTATGCAGTTATTGCAAGAAGCTCGGACATTATAGAAGAGTCTAGACAAAGAAAAGTCTAGACAACAGTTACACTATTAAATAGAATTTTCAGTTACAAAATATTTGTATTTAATATTATAGTTAGTAACCTACCTTATTAATCCCTAGAATATTGTATAAATAGCAAATCATTTCATGGAATAAATTAAGCCTTTCAGTCTCAATTCTTTCTTATTCTAAATTCCTTTATGGTATCAGAGCCTCTAGAGACCTAATCGGCCTATTCTCTTCAACGAACTACTCTACCACCATCATCCTCCTCTGCCCACCTTTGCCCCATGGCTACTGAAGATAACCAAGACAAAAGTCCAGAAGACGTTCATGATAACTCAACATCATCTCTCTCGACCAATAATCCCCTAACCCCGGATGACCTTATTATGCTCAATCCTAACCAATTCCCAGAAAAACTAGATGGATCAAATTACCTTGTATGGAGAGATCAAGTAATGAACCTGCTGTTCGGTTCTCATCTGGAACAGTATGTTGATGAAAAAATAGGTCCTCCTCTAGAAAGTGAAGCTACCAGCCTTCTGTGATGGAAGAGATAGGACCGTCCGGTGCGACACGCTCTTGTATCTTCTCTCAGTTCCACTTGCAAAGCGCTGGTTGGCTCTGCAAAGACCTCCGCTTCCGTCTGGAAAATACTAGAGCGCCTGTACATGACCCGGTCGGCCTCCAAAATTCGGAGTTTGAAAGATCAGTTCCGCCATGCTAAACAAGGGTCGCAACCTGTAGCAGAATACCTTCATCACCTTCGAACCTTGGCATATGAACTAGCCATGACCGGTCGACCCGTTGACGATGAAAACTTCGCCATTCAAGCCCTGGAGGGTCTTCGTCCCGAGTTTGAATCGATGGAGAACTCCATCCACCCAAATGAAACAAACTTTGAAGAACTTCATTCTTTACTGGTCAGATACGAAGATAAATTGCGACAGAAGGAGCTCTTGAATTCCGCCGCTATTGTTACGGTGAACCTAGCGACCGTCAAAAGAAAAGAGGAAGAAGGAAGATCGGTCGCAATGACGGCTCGCAGGGTCCCAGACTAGAGTGCGTCTATATTAGGCCAGGTCCATCTGCCCAACTTCAGAGTCTACCCAACAGGCCCAATACTCAAAATAAAATTTTTGTCAAAAATCAGAATCGAGGCCCACGCAACTTCTACAATTCAAATCAACGTGGAAATAGTAATCCCGGGGGCAGGCGTACCAATTTTGGGGGAAATACCAATTCGGGCGTTGATGTATGTCAAATTTGTGGCAAACCGAACCATCTTGCTATCAATTGTGGGCACAGATTTGAACAACAAAATTTCCCCCCCAAGCCAATACTGTCACGACCAGACGAAGCGGATGGTTACTAGACTCGGGAGCAACTAATCATGTCACCAATAATTTAAACAATCTTACCCTGTCGTCGGATTATACCGGCACAGACTCCCTCATTGTCGGTAACGGTAAAAGTCTTGAAATTGCATAAGTTGGGAATATGACCCTCCATTCTCTCTCCTTACCTAATACTCTTTTTGTTCCTTCTATTCATACTAATTTAATTTCAGTTGCCAAATTATGTCGTGACAATGATGTACTAATTGAGTTTCACCCTTCTTTTTGTCTTGTCAAGGACCGGAAAACGGGAGCAATTTTGTTACGGGGTATGAATAAAGGTGACGTCTACAGCCTGCCTGATGTTCCTGTTCCCTCATCACCATGTGCCAACGTTACTACAGAATTTTCTCTAAGTAAATGACATTGTCGTTTAGGACATCCTGCCCTTCCTATCACTCAAAAAATTATTTCCTCATTATGTATTTCCTTTAAAGATGTTAGTAAGGATTTGTCCTTGTGCACTTCATGCGCAAGTAATAAAAGCCACAAGTTACCTTTTGCTAAATCTTCCCTTTCAAGTTCGGGTCCCCTTGATTTAATTTATACAGATGTTTGGGGTCCTTCACGCATTAATTCTGTGGATGGTTTTCATTATTGTGTTATTTTTGTTGATCACTACACAAAATACATTTGGTTTTACACTATCACCCACAAGTTTGAGGTAACATCAATTTTTCAACAATTTAAGAAATTTGTAGAAAACGTTTTTCAAAAATCTATTAAAATGGTTTATTCAGATGGAGGGGGTGAATATATATCCCTAGGGAGATTCCTGGCCTCTTGTGGTATTACTCACTTATTGACCCCTCCATATACCCCTGAGCATAACGGCTTCGTTGAACGCCGACATCGTCATATTGTAGAAACAGGGATCACTTTACTTCACCACTCCTCTATGCCACTAAAATATTGGTCGTATGCCTTTTTAACTGTTGTATATCTAATTAATAGGCAACCAACAACATCTCTAGGTTTTTGTACTCCCTATGAAAAACTTTTTCAAAAACCTCCCAATTACACAAAACTTGCTATTTTCGGATGTCAATGTTTTTCAT